CAAATGAACTGAAAAACCAGTAGTCTTGCTTCTTCAATGGTCACAGTGAAGCAAGTAACATGTTGAGACCCATACTGAATCACCAATTTCCAGGGTCCTATCAGGTTGCCAATGTCAGTATGCAAAGCACTTTTATGCCTTTTGACTTACTGATACTTTTCTTGTAGGACCTGATGCAGGATGTGCAATTCTTGCAGTAGTTTCTATCAATAGAACTGAAGATGTGGGATATGCAGAAGGGAAAGAATATGGGTGATATCAAAAGTTTGCAAAGATATTGGGTTTTCAAGGTAAGACATCAGCTTGGTGATGCAGGTACTATGGACATGAGTTACCCTGAAGTTAAACCAAAAGAATACTGAACCCTGGAGTCCCTGGCTCTCCCCGTCCTCCTATCAACAGGACTACAACATTGTCTATGGTTTAGCTTATGTGCATCCTGGATGTGCAGTCTAAATTACAATATCTCTGTGGGTTATTACATCCATTTCATAAGTACCATCAGGCTTCAACTGCCAAGTGTTCCTTTTCCCAAATAACATGATGTTGTTCAGAGAGACTGCTTTTCCTGGAATAGGAACATGAAGGCAAAGTCTGGGAGCCTTCCATAGCCTATAATAGCACATCTCCTACTGCCCCCTCTGGCACATTTATTTCTACAACAAAGCAGTATATGGGATCAGAATATGTTGGGTGGTAAAAGCCTTCTTTAAGTTCTCAAAGGACAGCAGCACCCTTTGAATATCTTACTGTTCAAGGAGGCCGCTAAACCAGACTGGATTCTAAGCCAGACTGGATTATGGATTTTTCTGGGTCTGTTTGAAGTCCTTCAGGTAAAATGTAGTTGATGGTGGTTACTTCAAAATCCTGAGCTTGATGTACAGATTAATTTGCAATGACCCTATATAAATTTGATTAACAGCTAATTCTGCTGAAACTCTGGGATAGATAGTTAGCCCAAAACAATGCACAGTGTTCTTTCCCATTCCTTGGATTCATTTTGAAGGAAGAAAAAGACTTGAACAACTTGACAGTATGTTCTGGACAAACTGTCTTGCTAGCAAAATAGATTGTGCCACAAATTTTCATGTATTACTTTATGGTGTAATCCTAGGCGTGTTTACCCTGATATAAATACTACTAAATTCAATAGGGCTTTTTTCCCAAGTGTTCAGATTACTTTAAATCTTGTACAAATGTAACATGTAGTTTAAGAAAAATCAGAGTTAAAGAAAAATGAAAACCCTTCCTTGGAAAGATTTCTTCTAGAAGAGGGACTGAGCTGTTAAATTCAGACAAGTGATTTTCAGAGAGAGAATAATTTCTATTGTGGTCCAAAATAAGGAATTATTTACAACACATCTTCACCTAGTTTATTCTACCACAATGATTTTTCATCTATTTGTATAAGTTCTACAGCAGAAGCACCATAATGCTGTTTGCACAGAAAGCCTGATATACTGAAGAAAGCACTCTTGGACATTCTTTCCACCTCATTCTAGAGACCATTGAAAGGGTAGGGCATATTTAGTTCAGATTTGGAACTGGAGTTAGGCATCTGTGACAGTCTACCCCATACATAGCTGATCCCAAGGGAGAGACTCCAAAGATGGTGACTCGTATGGGAGAACCACTTCAGGGATGGAATGAGGGCAAAGGCTATATTATATTTTGCCCAGTTTCTTATTTTACGTCTGGGAGAGTTAGGCAGTAATGCTATAGGGAAAGATGAATGGGCTAGACAGAAGTTTGGTTATTCCTTCACACAGACAGATTGTGGTAGCTACCCTGGATTATCCTCTGGCCTGTAGGTACTACTAAAAAATGCCATAATAATAATATCTCTGTCATCCATTATTCGATTATAGATGAAAAGGCTGACCTAGTGTGCATAACCAAATCAAAGATTGGAGATCAGTTATTACTCTTTCTCAGCTGTACTTTCCAGATACTCTTAGATGCAAAGACTTTACCTAAATTAAATTGCAATCATGCTTCATACAGTGTTTATTAAAATCTACTAGAATTTTCAAAACTTAAAAGATTTTGTGAGACTTGCCAGAGCAAAATAACTTGGAGGAACACTTTACACAAAGGATAACAACGCTGTCCAGGTATTTTGGACTACAAATCTTCTTATCCCTAATAACTTAAGACCAGTGGGGTTAAGAATGAAACTTACATTTCCCAGGTTCAAGAGAGTCATTACATCAAGACAGGTAGTCCTTACTTACTGACCATTTGTTCAGCAACCATTCAAAGTTGCAATGGAACTGAACAAGTGGTACTTATGATTGGTCTTCAAAGTTCTGGCTGTGGTAGTAGACAAGGAACAGAAGACACCAGTGGTGATAGATACAGTAGTGCCAAATGACAGCAACATCAGGAAGGAGTATGAGAAGCTGGAGAAGTACCATGGCCTGAAGGAGGAACTAGAGAGGATGTGGAAAGTAAAGGCCAAGGTGGTCCCAGTGGTAGTAGGAGCACTCGGGGCTATGACTCCTAAGCCGGGAGAGTGGCTCCAACAGATCCCAGGAACAATATCAGAGCTCTCTGTCCAGAAGAGTGCAGTGCTAGGAACAGCTAAATACTGTGCAGAACCCTCAATTCCCGGGCCTCTGGTAGAGGACCTGAGATTGAGGAAGACACATACCATCCATAGGTTTGAGAGGGGAATTTTTATTATATGCACACACACACACACACACACACATATATAAGCTTGGATTGCTATGAATTGCAGTAAGCAGAACTTGCATTTCATGATAATACATTCTAATGCACACACACACACACACACACATATATAAGCTTGGATTGCTATGAATTGCAGTAAGCAGAACTTGCATTTCATGATAATACATTCTAATCTGCAATGAAGAACTTGATCTAGTTATGTCTGTGAACCTTTGTGAAGCCAAGTCCTGAACAAGAGGTCAGCATCTGGATCGCTGAGATTTTCAGTTCTGCTTGGGGAGAACCCTGACAAGTAGGTGTTCTAACTTAAAACATTTGGAGAGTAAACTGCTTTCACATTAAGCAGTAATTAAGAGAGCCTGCGGGACAGGCTACCCAACTAATTACAAGCCCAGTAGGTCAGTTCTTGCCAGTCATCTAGGAAGGACACCTCTGCTTTTTATATGGTAAATCCTCAGTTACTTGGAAAATGTCATCCTTCTTCGTTGATTACATAAATGTTCCTATTTTAACATATATTTTAAATTATTACTAAATTCATTTTAGAGCTTTAATACAGGTAAAACTTATTTCTTCAGTAAATTAACATTAAGCATACTAGCAGGAAAAAATGTGTTCCGAGACAGCATTAAAAATTGATCTAAAATCATATATATTTATATATATACATGGATTAGTGAAATCCATGAATTTGTGATTTTTTTATGGAGAGAAATAGTTAAAATATTTCAATTGAAGATACTCATTTCTCAATGAAATTAAATTAATACTTTGTTTTCCTTAACATTACATTAACATTAAAAATGGATACAAGGAGTCTTGGATAATTACTGCATCTAAAGTTTAAAAATTAATAAACTAAGAAAAGGCACATCTCTAAGATTTAGGCTTTCTGGAAATTGACATTAACACAGTATTTTTCTGTCATCCATCTTTCCCAGTCTAACAACTCATACATATTAATTTCATTTCACAGAAGAAATGCAGTAAATTTAGCATGAGCTCTGCTGCTGATGTAAGCTAACATGAATTAGCCATGGAAGTTGCTAATGTAAGAAACGTTATGATCTGAATGCTGTTGAAAACATTATTTTTTATCAGTCATTGTCAGGTAAACTAAGACAAAATTTAAAAATCCATTGTACTTATATCTTCATATGTTTTTAGATTATTAATGAGTGCAATTACGTGAGATCTTGATTCACAGATTCTTCAGATTTCTACACTGTTAAGATGAATGTGCTGTTATTCATTCTACTTAGCCAAAAATTAGAGATATAATATTTTCCTTTGACAGGACAAACAGAAGTCTCTAACCATGATTACTTGACTTGGGTGTCCAGATTCACAATGCACTCAAGGCTTGTTCCTTGAATTTGGCTAGAACAGCTCTTATATGGAAGTTCCAAATCATTTTTTAACATTGGTGGGGGTTTTTTCCCTTGAAATGGTGCAGAAACTCAGTAATGGAGCTGTCCCAGAAAAATATATAGAAAACATAAAGTACCTTTATAAATCCTATATACACAAATTAGTAATTCCTCTGGATTGTAGCCCATGTATACAATCCAAGATATGTCATTCATACATTTTGAAATAATATTTTTAGACTGTCTGATTTAGTCTGATTTTTGTGGGGCTGTCATATCTAATTCTTTCTCACGATGTTTGGATATATCAGGGGACTGATGCAAAAGTTAGAGATCTGGAGACCTATACATTACTTTTTGGGGTTGTGCAATATTTGGGATTTGATTTGGAAATCTTCCAAATCAGCTTCCCCAAAGAAAGTGGGTAATCCTGGGTAATCCTGAAAAAAGATGCAGCTTCTTTATTGAATCGCAGACAGACAATATATTCATATTCACACATTCTAAAACATTTTGCCTTGTAGTTGCATAAGCCTCTATATACTTCCTCATAGTGTACTTTTCTTATTGCTAAGCTAGGCAATCACATCTGAGGCTGAGGTTTTGTGTGTGTGTGTGTATGTGTGTGTGTGTGTGTATGACTTTATTTATTTTATTTTACACCATTTTATAAAAGAGTGGCATGTACTGTAGTAAAATCAAAGCTCTGAATAAGAACATCTAGAAATATTTTATTAGAACAAATCAAACTAAAATACAAATCAACAAGGAATTGCAATTTCTATGGAAAGTAACAGTACAAAATTAATCTGAGAAGGCTGCCCAGTCTTTCTGAGAAAATAACATATCTCTAAGTTCATACGAGAAAGCAGAATACAATTAGTAGTATTTTAAAATTATTTTAAAATCATGTGCTTAAAAATATATCCTTACCAGGATAACTTGAAAAATTGTTGGAACAAGGTGGATTTCTTCAACCAGTCTGTGAGAACACCAAAATAGATAATTAAATAATTAAGCAGTAAGCAATGAGAACAAAATTGTTTCTGTAATAAAATAGATAGTCCTCGCTCACCAACCATTCGTTCAGCGACCATTCAAATTTACGACAGTGCTGAAAAAGTAGCTTTATGTCTGGTCCTCGAAGCTGCGGCTATTGCAACATCCCTGTGGTCACATGATTGCGATTTGGGCGCTCAGCAACTAGCGCTCATTTGCAACAGTCACAGTGTCCCACAGTTATGTGATCATCATTTGTGACTTTCACAGCCAGCTTCCCATAAGCAAAATCAATGGGGAAGCTGGCAGGAAGTCACAAATTGCAGTTATGTGATGCCATGCTTAATAACTTGCAATGATTCACTTAATGACCACAGCCAGAACTGACATAAGTTAGCGCAGTCACGTGACATCATGCTTAATAACCATGCCACTTAGCGACAGAGTTGCTGGTCCCAACTGTGGTTGGTAAGTAAGGACTACCAGTAAGTGTATTATAATTATAAATCATAGAAACAAAATAGAAATATACAATATATGTCATATAACAAGTCACAGAGCATAAGATCAATTTAATCAGCTGTGCATTGTAACATAAATTATGCAACCTTTAGTCACTTATTTGGAAATAGCTGGATCTCAAGCTGATAAAAACAAAAAGAAAATATATAATTTATCCACCCATCCTACTTGTCTTTTTTTTCTAGGACATTACATACATGAGACGGATATTTCTGTAAAAAGGACAGTAAGTCTTTGTTGTGAAATTCTGTGATCTAGAACCTTAAACCATAACTACCATTTTAGTTAAACAAGTCCCTTCAAATCTATTAAAATATAAGAAATGCAATATTTCTTTGGAAATTATTCCTTAGTTTACCTCACTGTTGTGAAGTATGTTAGTGGAAAAGTACATAAATTATACAGATATATAATTATCAGTTTTTAAAATGTATTTTAAAATCAGTCTTTAAAAATATATTAATTTACTTAATTATAAATCCATCACATGGACAATATAGTTGATAAAAAACAAACCAACATGTATATGCTAAAATTGCGCCATACTGAAATAGTATGACACAGTTTGTGGTATCTTGAATGCCTAAAATAATACATTTGTGAAGTCCCTCCCCATGAATAAAACTATTTCATCAACTGGTAGGAAGCCATCAAATATCACTGGCAGTTGATTTCCATGGATTTAGCCATCTAAAACTCTTTGCCTAGACAAGGAATCAGAGAATAATACTATCAAAGTTCCCTCTAGGATTTGTACTCCACTTTGCCTGGGGAAGCCTGCAATAAATTTGCTCAGGCAAACTTGTAGTGAGTTTTGATAGTAGTCCTACTATACAATTATGCTGTCAAAATCCAGTGCAGACTTGCCCAGGGAAACTGGGAACACCCAAGAAGTGCTTTTCATCTCGGTGGGTTGGGCTTCAATTAGTTTAAATCAGTAATTAAGTGAACTAACCATAATTACTTTGATTATATTCAAGATTGTGTCTAGCATGTTAAAAAAGATAGTAGTTAAAGCAAATATTAACTAATGTAATACGTGCACTCAACCACATTTATGCAGTGGAATTGAATCTATTAAATATATGCTTACCATTCAGTTTTACATAGACATTTAACTATAAAAACAATGAAAGGTATTTTGCCATAAACCTGTATGCTAGTTCACCTTATTAAATATATTTGATGAAGTAGATTTGAGTCCATGAAAGCTGCTGTCATTACCTTAAAGAATGGAAACCATTGATGGACTATTTGCAACATGCAGGCGGGGTGAAGCTTACATGGGGATTTGAAGATTAGATTATAAATGTAATGGAATATGTTTTGACAAAG